GGAGAACCAAGATGGCGGCATAGGTTAACGCCGGAGTTTGCTGCTTTGAACAACTACTTCAAAAGTGAAACCAAAAAACGGAAGGGACATCACCCAGAACCACAGGAACGCTGGCTGAGTGGAAGTCCTACAACTAGGAGGAAAGAGAAACGCATACGGACACTCAGAGGAGGCGCAGTGCTGAAGTCAAATTCTGAGGTGCGGAGTGCACGGAGCGGGCTGGAGGCGGAGGGCGCGGTTGGCGTTTTCAATCGGGAGGGAGTCGCAGAATCCGAGCTCCAGATCCGGGCGAGTCTTTAGGGACCCAGACTCAAACGGGAGAAGCGGGACTGTCTGGCTTCGGTCAGAGCGAGTGCAGCTTTCTCTCTGAGCTTTGCAGCGGGTGCTGGGACTCTGAGAGGCAGAGCCCCTGGGGACAGGACTGAGAGCTGCCATAACTGCTCTCTCCGGCCCACCCTGTTGATCCTGTGCGACCCGCCCTGCCCAAGCCCTGCACACAGGCATTTGCCGGATAGCCTCAGGCAAAGGCTAGATTAGCACCTCCCTAGAGGACAGAAGTTCTCTCACTGCTGACACAGCTGATTCTCATAGCCACTTGGCCTGGAGGTCAAACCCTCCCTGGAATTAGCTACAACAATCAAGATTTAACTATAAGACTGCGAACAAAGACCACTAGGGGGTGCACCAAGGAAGCATAACAAAATGCGGAGACAAAGAAACAGGACAAAATTGTCAATGGAAGATATAGAGTTCAGAACCACACTTTTAAGGTCTCTCAAGAACTGTTTAGAAGCCGCCGATAAACTTAATGAGATCTACAAGAAAACTAATGAGACCCTCGATCTTATATTGGGGAACCAACTAGAAATTAAGCATACACGGACTGAAATAATGAATATTATACAGACTCCCGACAGCAGACCAGAGGAGCGCAAGAATCAAGTCAATGATTTGAAATGCGAGGAAGCAAAAAACACCCAACCGGAAAAGCAAAATGAAAAAAAAATCCAAAAATGCGAGGATAGTGTAAGGAGCCTCTGGGACAGCTTCAAGCGTACCAACATCAGAATTATAGGGGTGCCAGAAGATGAGAGAGAGCAAGATATTGAAAACCTATTTGAAGAAATAATGACAGAAAACTTCCCCCACCTGGTGAAAGAAATGGACTTACAGGTCCAAGAAGCGCGGAGAACCCCAAACAAAAGGAATCCAAAGAGGACCACACCAAGACACATCATAATTAAAATGCCAAGAGCAAAAGATAAAGAGAGAATCTTAAAAACAGCAAGAGAAAGAAACTCAGTTACCTACAAGGGAATACCCATACGACTGTCAGCTGATTTCTCAACAGAAACCATGCAGGCCAGAAGAGAGTGGCAAGAAATATTCAAAGTGATGAATACCAAGAACCTACAACCAAGATTACTTTATCCAGCAAAGCTATCATTCAGAATTGAAGGTCAGATAAAGAGCTTCACAGATAAGGAAAAGCTAAAGGAGTTCATCACCACCAAACCAGGATTATATGAAATGCTGAAAGGTATCCTTTAAGAAGAGGAAGAGGAAGAAAAAGGTAAAGATACAATTTATGAACAACAAATATGCATCTATCAACAAGTGAATCTAAGAATCAAGTGAATAAATAATCTGATGAACAGAATGAACTGTCGATTATAATAGAATAAGGGACATAGAAAGGGAATGGACTGACTATTTCTGGGGGGGAAAGGGGTGTGGGAGATTCGGGAAGAGACTGGACAAAAATCGTGCACCTATGGATGAGGACAGTGGGTGGGGAGTGAGGGCGGAGGGTGGGGCGGGAACTGGGAGGAGGGGAGTTATGGGGGGGAAAAAAAAGAGGAACAAATGTAATAATCTGAACAATAAAGATTTAATTAAAAAAAAACTGTCTGGCACATAGTAGGTCTGCAATAAGTGTCTGCAGGAAGAAACATGATGCATGTGATAAAGTAACAAGCATTGGAGTAGGAGCTAGATCAGAAGAGGCAGAAGATTTTAGCATAGATTCTACAGAACCCAGGGGATTCATGGATAGAGTTGAAAAAATTACATCCTTGTTTTCACTAACCTCCAACTAAAATGTAGCATTTCCTTCTATCATGCATGTGAGCAACAAATCACAACAGTATTAGCAGTACCTGAGACTCCGTCACCAATAGAAATCATAGATATTTCTGTATTGCATTACAGTAACGATGTCTTGAAATACTGTTTACACTCATTGACTACCTCAAAATTACAATAGGTAATAGACCAATTTCTAGAGCTTGTTATTTAATGTTTTTAAAAAGGACTAAATCACAAAATAAATATTTTGATAATGATTTTATATAATTGGTTTCCTCTGTATTCCAAAGTAATTTATTTTTCGTATTTAAAAATATCCTTCTGAATAGAGGTCCACAGTCTTCATCAAACTGCCAAAGGGTCCCCTGGCTAGCCAGACGTGGGTACCAGTCCTGCCTGGGTGACACTGGGCTTGTTATGTCTCTCAGAGGCACAATCATCCTAGCTTGGCTCACACACGGGGTTGTTGGAAGGAACAAATTAATTCTTGGCTGGAAAAAGACTTTGAAAATTGTTGGCAGCTTCCCAATTTTACCAAAAGCCAGAGCAGAGCGCTTTCTACTGCCCAGCTGAACCCCATGTCTCCAGGAGTGCTCTCTCCCTTTTACAGGATTCCACGCCTCCCCTTTGCTCTCCATCTAATAAATAAAGAGGCCAAAATGCACCTCCACTAGAGTACACTATCCAGCTCACTGTTTGCAGAAATCTCCAGCTGGAAAAAGTTTTCTGAGGGATAATAACAATTCCTTCCAGTTTTCATATTTGACCTTAGAGTGATTCTTGAGGACACTACCCCCTCAAAACTCTTCCCTTGTCCTTCAGATGGTGACCCCTCTTCAGATGGCCATGGTCCCTGCATTTCCCCTTTCACTGCCCTGTCCTGTGATGTCTGTCTGACTCCCCCACTATACTATGTGTTTCTCAAGAGCAGACCGAGACCCAACCCCTCTCAGGGGCCCCAGGTCAAAGGTATGGCACACATTTGTATTTTAGGAGTTGGCTTAGATGAAGAAAAGGAACCGGAAGCACAGAGAGAAAAACTGAGGAAGGGTTTGAGCTAGGGCTTGAGCCCAGATCCCCGGATGCCCATGATTTATCCCACACACACCCAAAGCAAGTGATGGAAGAACTGGGGAGTCCCAACGCATCCCATCATTTCCGACTCTACCCACTGCTGTGAAAAATGAGGAGAGCTACCAATGAAGCGCGTACAATGGGAGGTGTCAGATTCAGTGGCTTTTAAATCTTTTGACCTGGCTCAGAGTAAGAAATGCATTTTACAAAGCATTACTATTTGCCATGCACTTTCCCCATTCCATTTAATTATTATTTTTAACGCTAGCTGTGACTCAATAACTGATTATATGGCCCACCAGTCCTTTCAAAGCCCCAGTATCCTGTGATTGGCTGAAAGGAAATTATTCACATAATGAATGGGACAATTAACGCTCAGAAGTCCCTGGTCCTGGCTCAGTGAGATCCAGCCAAACTGCACATGTCTCAGAGCCTCAGTTTCCCCAATGTACCCTGAGAGGACAGACAGGAAATCTCTAAGGCAGCGGTTCTCAACCTGAGGGTCGCGACCCCTTTGGGGGTCGAACGACCATTTCACAGGGGTTGCCTAAGACCATCGGAAAACACATATATAATTACATATTGTTTTGTGATTGATCACTATGCTTTAATTATGTTCAATTTGTAACAATGAAAATACATCCTGCATATCAGATATTTACATTACGATTCATAACAGTAGCAAAATTACAGCTATGAAGTAGCGACGAAAATAATTTTATGGCTGGGGGTCACCACAACATGAGGAACTGTATTAAAGGGTCGCGCGGCATTAGGAAGGATGAGAACCACTGCTCTAAGGACTTCATACATCCCCTTCAGGTTGTGGTCCTCTGACCCTAGTGAGAACAGTGACCTTATGAACTGGAAATAATTTTTGAGAATGAAGAGGTGTACTGGCTTTGCTTCCTGGTGGGTGGGGTCACCATCTGGGACATTAATTAGCCCCTTGTCCTAGGCCAGTGTGGACGGGTGTGAACAGGGGAGTGGGAACATGTCAGTGCATGAGCTAGCTGCTCAGGGAAGGAATGAACCGGCAAGGGAGCAGAGGATGAGAGCATTTAAAAGTCCACTGGTAGAGAGGCGCTGTGAGAGCAAGGCCTGGGGAAGGAGCCGGACCCAGGTCACAATCCCGCGGGCTTGAGGGCCAGGAAAGATGACTTCTCTCTGCCCCTTAGCTCTCCTTTATAAAATGGGTTTGAAAATCCTTGGTCCTCAGAGTTGTTGTGAAGGTTAAGTGAGGTCAGGTGTTAACCACTCCATACTGACCCTACTGTGTGGTCGCCGGCTGGTCGCGCTCCGCGCCCCGCACTAGCCTGCCTCTGCCCTGAGATGCCCGCGCCCCGCACAGTGCCCAGCGCCAGGCGGTGCCCGCGCAGGTGTGGAATCGGCCCCTGCCACCCAGGACATGTGCTGTTTCTCTGAGCATCCAGCACCCTCGCGCAGTCACTGGGGACGCAGGGGGACCGCTGGGGGAAGAGCGGGCAGGGACCCGCCCGGTGCCCAGGCGGCTCTGCGAGGCAGCTCCCTCCTCCCAGCTCCGCCGGTCGCCCTCCACCCCGCGCCCGCCTCCTTCCCGCCGCTCTCCACTCCCACTGCTCCTGGGTCCTCCCCCGCGGCTCTCCCTCCTCCACCTCCCCTCCGGCCGCGCCCTGTCCGCCTACCTGGTCGCCTCTCCGGGTCCTTGGGGACTCGGGTCTCTAAGCGCTTCGTCTCGGCGCCTCTCGCCTTGTCTGTCTCTGGTCTCTGCGCTCTCTGCTTACCCCCGCCTCTCTAGGTCTCTGTCTTTCTAGAGCTCAGTTCTGTCTTCGCCCGCGTCTCCTCCGGCCGGCCTTCCTTCCGGGGCCCGGGGCGGCGGGGCCGGCGCCCGGCGCGATGAGCGGCGCCTGCACGAGCTACGTGAGCGCCGAGCAGGAGGAGGTGCGCGGCTTCAGCTGCCCGCGGCCGGGGGGCGAGGCGGCCGCCGTCTTCTGCTGCGGCTTCCGCGACCACAAGTACTGCTGCGACGACCCGCACAGCTTCTTCCCCTACGAGCACAGCTACATGTGGTGGCTCAGGTACTGGCCCTGGCCCTCACCCCACCGACCACCCCAATCTAGTTTGAGCCCTCTCTTCCCATCTCAGCCAGGCTGCGTAGTCAACCCTCAGTGCTCATCCAAGTGCCCATCCCAATATCGGCGCCACCCGCCGCGGGCCCAATATTAACGTTTGCCCTCATCCATCACCAACCCCACTCCCTCTGCAACCCCTTCTCAGCTCCATTCCCCCATCCTGATCCTGATCCGAACCATTATTCAAATCAAAACTTGAACCTCACCCCAACTCCACCCAGGAAAACCTTCCGTTTAAACCCTCTCCAAGCGTCATCCACCACCACCCTCAACCCAACCCCAAATTACATACCAACCCTCTCCCCAACAGCAAACTCCCATCTTCCAATGTTCACAGGAAACACAAACTCCACCCTCATTCAAGTACCCACCAGGGTCTCCTTCCTAAGATCAACATCAACCTCATCCCTGACTTTACCCCCCAATACCCATCTATCACCAGCTCAACCTGCCCCTAATTCCCCCTGCAGTCCCACCGCAGCTCTCCTTCCCCACCCTGATTCCAAACATTATATAGACCTACATCCAAACCTCAGCTTCAAGCCTTACTCCTCACCTGAGGCTACACGCCAACTCAACCCCAGCCTCAGCCCAGCCTCAACGCTTTTCTTCCCCCTGCCATTCAGTCATTCTTTCAGCCACCTCCTGCTGAGCACAGCTTTTCTAGGCCCTGTGCTCAGTGCTGGGGGTGTACTCCCCTCCTGAGCTAAGACGGAAGACCAAGGGATCAAGGCTGCCTTCAAGTTCATCATGAGACAGTGGCATAATGCTACAGCTCAGGCTGTGCCATAGCAGTGTGATGATTGGCTGAAGATCCACCCACACGGCCTCAGTTTCCTCACTAGTTCAGGGAAGGGATTAGTTAGGCCATTGCTGATATTCCTGGAACTTCAGTGTGGGGCTGAGAGAGCAATTGGTCTCAATCTCTTTCCGTCTCCAAAGGCCTCACCCAGAAAGTAAGACTTGACCCCAAACTTGCTCAGGGAAATAGGCATCAGCAGAAACAGAGTGGGCTAACTCAGTAGACAGTGATTTTCCTGTCCTGGAGGTAGTTCACCAGCGGCTGCATGCCCTCTGAGTGGACGGCCTGCCACTCAAACTTCTCTGAGCCTTTGTCTTTTCATCTATCAAATGGGAAGGATGATAAATCTTTGCCCTGATTTCCTACTAGGGCAAGAACCAAATGAAATAAAGAGGTGAAAACCAACTTGGCATATGCCACTGACAATTAGAGTTATTATTATTGCTTTCTCTAAACAGCTCAAACCGTAATTCGAAAGGACTTTCAGATAGCTAGTGTTTCAGTTCCTGCACATTCAGCTGCTATCTGTAACCCAGAGAAGTATATTAATTTATTTTCTGTTCATCCATGTTTTCATTCATTTATTATAGCCTTTGCGTTATGCCAGGTGCTATGCTCTGCACTGGGGACACAAAAATCAATTATTCCCTGCCCCTCAGGAGCTTACAGTCCATTCAGAGAGATAAGACATGTACCTAACATGTAACAATGGAGTCTTTGTTTAAAACTCACTGTGTACTTAGCCCTGAAGTGGGTGCTGAAGTACCTGTATAATAGCACTTACTTGCCTTTGAAGTATAGAGACAATGTGGAGCTTTTGGAGTGGTTAGAACCCAGTCCAAACCTCGGCTCTGTCACTTACTAGTAATAGCTATGTGAATTCAGGCAAACTATCTCCGAGCCTCTTTTTCATCTCTGAAATGGTAATAGTAATACCTGTCCTATGGAATTGTTGTGATGATTAAGTGAAGTATGCATGTGAAAGTGACTAGGATGTATTGTAGATGCTCAATAAATGCGAGTTCCCTTTCCCATGTTCATAAGTGGGGAAAGGGAAACTTGGAATATGAAAGTGAATTGTTCAAGATCTTCTAGCAATGTCACAGCAGACTGAGATTTAAAGAAAATTATGTAGGACCATCCAAGGCTAGATGCATTCACACATTTGCAACCTGGCACGTTTTCTCTCCATTTTAAAGATGAGAAAACTTGAAAGCCATGAGGTTACTATCAGGGAGTGCCACAAGCCTGTCCGGCTCTAAGCCCAGGCTTGTCCTGCTGCACAACTGTCTAAATGTAGCCTGGCTGTCTTACAACCTGCTCTACTCAGATCACTTGAAAAAATACTCATGACCCTTCACTGTCTTCTGAGCACTGTGCTAGCCCTTGGGAACAGAGAGATGAGTAAGCTCTCTGCACCCAGCCAGAACCCCAACCCTCTACTACCAACCCTTTTCCCTATACACCCCTGTGTCCCTCCAGTTGCCTTGGACCCTCAATAGAACACTTTAGTGGCTTAGACAACCAGGTAATGGTTTTAATGGGGTAAGTTCTGAGGTCACATCACATGTTAGTGTGCTCCCATCTTATGACCCCAAGGGCAGCTGAACGGTTCTAGCTTGCAGGGCTGACTCTTCCTCAGTTTGAATGTAAGGTGGTTCATAAACACCACAGGCTATTGCAAAGTGGAGGAGGAAAACTGAAGGTCCTCAGGACATCTGGGTTATCAGTGTACCCCAAACCCTGAAAACTCTACTGGCATGCTCCTATCAGTTCCCTGCCATTGCACTGTAGAGACCTTATTTTGCTCTGGACTCTACTTGACCCTTTTTATGAAAGCTGGCCCTTAAAAAACATAAATCTTCAGGTAAATACTGTTTCCTTCAATAGACCTCAAGGAGAATGAGAATTGCTGTCTTTAAAACCATGTCTCAAGAAGTGAAGACTCAAAAAGAAAAAGAAAGGGGAGGGAAGAAGAGGAGGAGGAGGAGGAAGAGGAGGAGGAGGAGAAGGAGGAGGAGGAGGAGGAGGAGGAGGAAGAAAAGGTTCCCTGTGGATAAGCAGCTGGTGTTATAACTATCTGGTACACTTTCCAATCACCCTGTTGTTATTATTATTTTTTTAATTAGGATGTGAGACAAAGGCAGTGGCCTTGCTGGAGGGCAGAATTAGTGGTCAGGCACTGTCTTATTTAACCTTATGAACACCTGGTGAGATAGGAACCTTTACAGATGAAGAAAATGAAGATCAAGAGATGAAGGATTTTTCAGCTTATATGTGACAGAACCAAGATTCAAAATTAGACTTGCCTGACTCAAAAACCCTAACAAATGTTAGACTGACCCGCCAATGTTTTTTTAGGGGATCACAGTAGGTTATCTATATTTCAGAATCATAAATCTGTGAAACCATAGTCATAAATCTGTGAAATGGAATTGAAGAGCTAGCAGCTGTTCAACTTCTCACCCAGGGCAGGAATCTCTCACTTCATTGAAAGGTGTCCTCATCCAGGTGTTCTGTGTAAATCTGTCCAATCATAGGGAATTTACCCCTCTCGAGGCAATACATGGGACAACTCTGACCATTTAAAGTTCATCTTGTGCTAGGCACAGATTTCCCTCCTTAGAGCTTCTTCTGCTGTCCCAGCTCTGTACTTGGGGGCTGGTTCCTCTGTCCCCAGACAGACCATCAGAAACAGTGCCCACTTCCTGACTAACCACTGATCTGGGATATATCCCCCCTCAGCTCTCTCACCCACTTTTTGTTGTTGTTGTTAATCCTTACAGTGATTTTTTTAAAAATATATTTTATTGATTTTTTTTTTTTACAGAGAGGAAGGGAGAGGGATAGAGAGTTAGAAACATCGATGAGAGAGAAACATCGATCAGCTGCCTCCTGCACACCTCCCCCTGGGGATGTGCCCACAACCAAGGTACATGCCCTTGACTGGAATTGGACCTGGGCCCTTTCAGTCCGCAGGCTGACGCTCTATCCACTGAGCCAAACCGGTTAATGCCTTACAGTGATTTTTAGAGAGAGTGGAAAGGAGAGAGAGAGAGAGACAGAGGGAAACATCAATGTGAGAGAAACTCATTGATTGGTTGCCTTCTGCACACACCCTGACCAGGGCCAGAGAACCTGCAACTGAGGTACATGCCCTTGACTGGAATCAAATTCAGGGCCCTTCAGTCCAGGCCGACGCTCCATCCACTGAGACAAACAGGCTAAGGCTCACCCACTCTTCAAAGGACCCTACTTTTAGAGGGCCCTTTCCATTCAGGTGGCCATAGATGTCCCTTGTAAAAGGTGGGATCCCAACTTGTGCACAAGTCTCCAGCTAAGAGCATTATAAACAACTAGAGGTCTGTTGCACAAAAAGATTCATGCAATACACCTTCCCTCCCCCTGGCTGCCGGCACCGGTTTTCCTCCGGCACCCGGGACCCAGGCCCAGGCCTTCGCTCCGGCTGGAGCCTCCTTCCAGCCCACCAGCCCCGGGTTCCCCATGAGAGGGCTGGATGAGGGCGGGGCAGGTGGTGGGGATCGCTGCAGTCCCACCCGCCAGCCACAGGTCACGTCGCACACAAGACGCCCGCCGCACCGGGTCGCAGATAGCAGGCCCAGATGGCGGTGGGGCAGGCAGGATGGCGCTGTCCCACTGTGTCTGCAGTATGCAAATTAGCCGCCATCTTTGTTGGCGGCTAATTTGCATATCACGCTGATGAGCTGATGGGAGGTGTAGCGAAAGTACGGTCAGTTACCATGTTTGTCTATTATTAGATTAGATAACTATATCTCAAAAGAGGAAATAATTCCCAAAGAACTAACAAGTACTACATGCTCTATGTGGAAAGGACAGGAGCGATAAAAGAGGAAAGAAATCATGGGAGATCCAGTATTTTAACTTGGTTTCCCCAAAAGACTTGGAAACAAGGATTTGAGGGCAGATAGTTTACGTGAAATCAATTCTGAAAGACACCGGTGGAGTGTGGGGAATTGAGGAGGTGGGAAGGGAAGGAGCTAATGATGATGTTACCAAGTAAGTCACCACTGAGGATCACCGGAACTTAAACCTGCTAATCTCAGCCAACCAATGTAGAATCTGCATCTCAGAGTCATTCGGCCCAAGTGCCAAAAAGCTGGGTATTTACGTACCTACTTATGTCAGTCATTAGTTCTGTGCTGGTGTGAGAAGGCGGGCGTTCATTTTCCTCCACTTCTGACCTGCTCACCGTGTTGGTACTGTTCTGGGCCCAAGAAAGCCCTCTGGCAAAAAGATACAAATGCTAGCATTTGAAACTCTGGCCAGAATATTTTACAATTATAAACCTAAGGGGCAAGGACAGGACATTCAGAGCCTGGGCTTCAGCCAGCGACAGCCTGTTAGCATTTTGGGGTATTTCTGTCCAACCTTGCATATGTATAATTATGTATATATTTGTGTTAATTTATTTGAGTTGGGGTTATGTTATATATTTAGTAGTGTGTCCTCTTTTCATTTAACATTAGCTCATCTGAATTTAGCCTTGATCTTAAATGTTATTTGAAAACATGTTTTTAAGGGCTCTATATTATTCCATTGCAGGGATATCCAATAATTTATTTAGCCATGGGAATACAGATTCTCTGAAGCTCTAAGGTGTTTCTGTTTAGTGGAAATTAGCCATCAGCTAGCAGGAAATGAAATCTGGCAGAAATGGCAAAGGCAGGAAGGAGTTTGTGGCTTGGGTCAGAGAGGAGGGTTAGAAGGAGTCTGCGATGCTGTGATTTATAAGGTATTTGGTTTTTACCCACAATTCCTGGCTCACAGTTCCCAAAACCTATGGAATTTCCTAAGTGTTGAAAATAATAAAGGTGTCTTTTGGGCTCCACCCAAGGGTAGGGTCTGGTTGTCAGGAAAACCAACCACATGATTAGAGGTTTGGTTTCAGTCCTCCCCATGCCCCTTTTTCCTGACCTCTTGGAGAAGGGCTGGAGGTTGAGTTCAGTTGTCAATGGGCAATAACTTAGTCAATCATGACTACATAATGAAGCTTCTGTAAAAACCCAAAAGGACAGTAGTTGATCTTTTTATTTTTATTTTTTGGAGAGCTTCCACGTTGGGGAACAAGAACGCTTCCATGTGCTACCAGGCTTCAAGCTCCACAAAGCTCTTTTGTTCATGATGTCACCCTATGTATCTCTGCATCTGGCTGTTGATTTGAATCCTTTAATATCCTTTTTAATAAATCATCTAGTGAGTAAACTATAGTACTGAGTCCCAACTATGTGGTTACACTGAGGCATGCCATGTATGTGGGGAATACTTGACATATAGTTGATACTCTTTCCCATGTTTAGGCACAGAAAGCCTGTTTAAGACAAGTAGAGACAGAACAACACTTCTCCTATAACATGCTGCCTCCAAAGTCCCTTTCTGAAGCTCAGCTCCTCTATGGTCTTCTCTCCCCAGTATTGGTGCTCTTGTGGGCCTGTCCGTAGCAGCAGTGGTCCTCCTGGCCTTCGTTGTCACCGCCTGTGTGCTCTGTTACCTGTTCATCAGCTCAAAGCCTCACACAAAGTTGGACCCAGGTTTAAGCTTACAGACTACAGGTAAGAAAAAGGTCACATGCTCTCCTTGTATTCAGCAGACAAGAATTTTTACAAAGGGGACATATTTAGAAATGATATTTTGAACACTTGCCTCATGAGTGTTCCTGGAATATTCAGAAGGAACAGCACAATTCTAAAGAGGTTTTTGATCTGAAGATGTCCATTCTAAACCTTTCATGTGCTCTGTGTTTATCAAAATAATTTGATGTAGTCAGCATTCTGTTTGTTAGACAAAGATGAATCCATCTTGTGGATTTTCTAAGACAATGTTTTAATTCTAGCCTTAGAAAATACAAACTGGTTTTAATATTACCCCAAACAAAATACAATTAATAAGAAAAATTTGCTGCTCCCCAAACTCAATTTATTCAGAAATTAAATACAGGTATTTTTGGATAATCTGATGTTCTTGGCCTACCAATTTCTTTATTAGTACAGGTGACCAAGAGCTTCCCTACAGGGTCACCTTCAAAGTGTTGCTTTTACACATATTTTACAACCTCTTCAAGGCACTGTGAAAGAAACAAGTAGCTATTGGCAAAAGATCTTTCAGTACAGCTTGGTAGACAACACTCAAAATGGGTAGTATTATTTCCATTTTACAAATGAGAAAATCAAGGCTGAGAGAGATTAGGTGACTTGCACAAAGTATCACAGCTAATACATGATAAGACTGAAATCTGGCCCATGTTTTCCTGCCTTGAGTCATGCTCTTTCTTCAGCCCACCACTCTGGATCTGGCTAGGTATACAATTAAGCACAAAATTGTTTAATACCAAATGTAAGGAGTGTTTCAAAAAGGAAAGGAGACTTGAATTGGTGCTGAATTAGTGAAGGAGTTGGTTAGGCAAAATAGATGAGAAAAGGCATTTCAGGATAGGATAAATAATGGGTAAAGGTGTGTGGGCAGGACTGAGTGAGACTATGCAGTAACAGGGTCATTCACCCTGGGGCGCTGTATGGGAGGAAGGCCAGGCTGGACAGGGGAGGAATTTAAGTTCAGAAGCAAAGATGGCACACTCAATCAGGGAGGGAGAAGGGGCAGGGTGGGTAACAGCTAAATTTCAGAGAAAAGTAGAGAGAGCCTTTTCATTTGCACAAGATTATTTTTCCAATTTCACAACAAACTCGTGCAAAAAATGACAGCACATGAACACATCTCAGATCCTGATGCTTACAATAGTCCCGCTGTGGCCGAGCAGTAAAAGTAGAAGGGCTGGCTTTTGAGGGTGGGAGAATTCATCTGGCTCTCCTTGGAGCCAGGAAGACCTAGAAGGAGAATAGGAAGTGGCAGGAGAATAGACCCAGCCTCAGGGAGACCAAGGATAGCCCAAGCTTCAACTTTTTTTTTTTAATAACTTTTATTTATTGATTTTTAGAGAGAGAGAAAGAGAGAGCGAGATTTGTTGTTCCACTTACTATGCATTCATTGGTTGATTCTTTTTAAAATATATATATTTTTATTGATTTCAGAGAGGAAGAGAGAGGGAAAGAGATTATGAGAGAGAATCATTGATCAGCTGCTTCCTGCACACCCCCTACTGGGGATCAAGCCTGCAACCCAGGCATGTGCCCTTGACCAGAATCGAACCCAGGACCCTTCAGTCTGCAGGCCGACTCTCTATCCACTCAGCCAAACCAGCTGGAGCCATTGGTTGATTCTTATATGTGCCCTGACCTGGAATCAAACCCACAATCTTGGTGTATCAGGTTGATAACCAACTGAATTACCCTGCCAGGGCCCACGCTTCAACTTTTATAGAGAAAAATCATAAAAGTTAATGAGAGGCATAAAAGAGCCTGACTGTCTGGTGAGGTACAGAAAGCATGTGAATAGGAAGACTCAATGTCATAGACGAATCAGTTCTTTCCAAATTAATCTATAAATAAAAACCCCAACAAATAAAAACCCCAACAAATAAAAACCCCAACAAATAAAAACCCAACAAGAGTTTTAATGGAATTTGTCAGATTCATTCTAAAATTAATATGGAAGAGTAAAGGTGCAAGAGTGAACAAAACAATTTTGAAAACAAAGAAGAGACTTGCCCTATCAGATACTAGAATATTTTTCAAAGATAAGAATTTGTCAATTTGTTATTGGCACAGAAATTGACAGGTAGAATTGGGCAATGCAGTGTCCTCAACTAGTGCAAATTTGCTACCCAAAGATATTTTGCAATGTGTGGAGACATTTTTGGTTGTCACAACAGGCGAGGGCTACTACTGGTATCTTTTGATAGAGGCCAGGGATGCTATTAAACATCCTACAACACAGGGTAGCGCTCCACCACAGAGAATGATCCAACCCAAAATGAAAATAGTGCGAATGTTGAGAAACCCTAGAATAGAAAGTCCAGAAACAGACTAATTAAAATATAGAAATTCAAAGAAAATATTTAATTATTATTACTTTTTAAAAATATTTTTTATTAATTTCAAAGAGGAAGGGAGAGGAATAGAGAGATAGAAACATCAATGGTAAGAGAGAATCACTGATTGGCTGCCTCCTGCATGCCCCCTACAGGGGATCGAGCCTGCAACCTTGACTGAAATTGAACCCGGGACCCTTCCGTCCCCAGGCAAACACTGTATCCACTGAGCCAAACCGGCTAAGATGAAAACATTTAATTTTTAAAAATAAGGGGAATATGGGAAAATTTGCCTACATAAAATGCAAACAGACATCAAATAAAAATAATACATAAGATAGTATAAACTTTAAAAACAAGTGATAGACTGCAAACATATTATAAATAGAAGTAAATACGTGCCAGGCAATCATTATTTGCAGATTTAATATTTGTGAAGTTGCCTATTTGCTGAAATTTATATGTAACCTCAAAATCAATACTTGCAGTGTTTTCAAGGTCTTTTCAAGCTTACCCGTAGTCTGTAAGCTTAAATTTTCAAGGTTTACAAATGTGGACATGCCCAGAGCAGCAAAACATTTGAGTTGCCCCATCACACACATTCCCAGCTGACGTGGAACAAGGCCATGCTCTGGCTTCTCAGCTCTCATACTGTAAACAAGTGTCCTTTTCATGATATATTGAGTGACATGTTTTTGCATTTTTATGACTTTTAATGGTGGTTTCACTGTTGAAAATGCCCCCCAAACATAGTGCTGAAGTGCTGTCTAGCGTTCCTGAGCATGAAAAAAGACTGTCATGTGCCTTGTGGAGAAAATATATGTGTTGAGTAAGCTTCGTTCAGGCAGGAGTTATGGTGCTTTTGGCCATCAATTAAATCTTAATAAATTAATAATGTATATTAAAGAAGATGTCTTTAAACAGGAACACACAAAATAAAGTTATGTATTGACCAATTGACAAAATTGTTGTGACCAGAGGCTCACAGGAACCTAGCTTTTATCAATTACATTGGTAAGTACAAAAATGGATCATATTAATACTGAGGAGGCTGGGTGGAGGGAATGGATACTGTCATATAGTGCTGGTAGGAGTATAAATTGGTACCACCACTTTGAAGGGTAATTTGGCAGTATCTATTTATATTGAAAATGAATGTATCCTATAACTCAGTAATTCCCCTTCTAATTATCTTAGAAGAAATAGCTATACTAGAAGAGGATAGTAAAGATGGATGACATGATCATTAGTCATATTGGAAACAAACTAAATGTCTACCAGTAGAGGAATAATGAAATATGATTCCACAGTTAGAAGGAGTGAACTAAATAGAGCATCTCATTAGTTCTTCACAATAACTGGGCAGAGTATAGATCTTATTACCATCCATTTTACAGATGAGGAAACTGAGGCCCAAGTTACCTAGTGAGTAAGTGACAGAGCCAGCTCTACCTCCAGTCTCCTTCCTCTCCTTATTCCTGTGCTGCAAAATGAAAGTCCCTACTATGTGCCAGTCACTGTTTGAAATGGTACATGCATTATCTCATCCAATTTTCCCAACTGCACGAGTGAGGTGTTATTATCATCTGTTTTACAGGTGTGAAAACCAGGTCTAAGAAAGGTGAGATGACTTACCCAAGGGGCCACAGTTTGTAAACTGTGGATCTGGAATTCAAATATATGTGTTTTTCTGCCTCCAAAGTCCTACTCTTTTTACCGCACCGGGCCAGGTCTATGAAGTGCTCCTGCTTGTGTCCTGATCCCCTCATTACTCCTCACTCTGTATCCTCCCCTATACCAGACCTTTCTGAATCAAAGGGAATACAGCTCATCTCTTGGCCCTGTTGGTGAAAAACACCCTCCTACTTTTTCCTGCTCAGCCACCAGCTGGATTATTCAATTGCCAGGGTTTGAGATATATGTTCTTGCTTTTTGTTACTTATTTTTAAGATAGAAAATGCATTTCCTGACCTTTTGCTAAATGATGGCTTTTAAGCTCTCTCTCTGTCTCTTGCCCAGCTGCAGCGCTTAGTTCCTCTCTTTCTTCTTCGTTAAGTACGGGCCCCTCCTTCCCAGCAGCTGAATCAGTTTATAGGCCCATTATCTTCCATTCGCCAGAGCGTTACCCTTTATGTGGAGTTTCATTTCTGTTTGCTGTCTCCCTCTCCAGTAGGGCATGTAGACAGATCATTAGCCCATTTTACATCAAGCTCAGCCATGGGAAGTGAATTGGCCAAATCTACACAGTAGTGAGCATGTGTTGCTGGGACGTCAATCCTGATCTCCCAGACTCTAAAGCCTGTGATCGTTACACTGTACCTCAGGTCCTGATCGCTGAGGGTAGAGACAGGGAGGGGGAGTGCCCTGGCAAGAACAGAGTGGAAATGGACCCGAGTCTGGAAACAGGCTCCTTCTGCTACCCAGGTGTTCTGTACTGTCCTGTCACTCCACCTCCATACTACCCCCCAAACTTGGAATGCAAAAAAACACCTAACTTTCTTACTCTAGAACTTTGTAACTAGCTCCATCCGAAGGGTGACCGAGTTCCTACGGTTGTGCCAGATACTATGCTAAGGACTTTAAACATATTATCCCATGTAACCAGCTTAACTACTCTGCCAGGTGGTT